TGTGGCAGTATAGTCTCTGCGTCACTTATGAGATGTAATCAACACTGGGAGTGCCTGAAAATACGGACATTCCCCTGATCCCAGCAACTGGGCTTCTGTGTTTCATCATTTAACTCTCAGTATTTATATAGAAATTGCTTATGTACCAGAATATTCAGTGAGATTTATTGGCAATGATAAAAGTGTGGAACTTCCTAGGCTATTTTATTTACCAATATTTAATCGATAAATGTAGTTCAGCATAGGACAGGTGTTTGGAGTAGTAGTTCAGATGCTATGTATGATGCCCACATCCCACATCAGAGTAGCTGAGTTCAAGTCCCAGCTTGACTACCAGTTTGTCTCCCTGCTAATGTTCACTCTGGGGGGGCGGGGAAGCAGAAAACAGCTCATGTAATTGTGTCCCTGCCTGAGTTCTGGTCTCCCGGTTTCAGCCTGGCCCAGTGAGTCCTGTGGTAAACACTTGGGGAATGAATGAAAAGATGGAATCTTTCTCTCTCTTTTTCTCTTTTCACTTCCTTTGAAATAAGTGAAAATAAATGAGTAAACATTTTACAAAAAAGGATTATAATATATTTCCTAACATTAAAACTACTTTTTGAATACTCTTTTAAGCTTTCTGTCCATATTTATGTTTCTTTGTTCTTAGCATTAAATTGCTTGAGTTCCTTACATATTTTCAATATTCATACCACATCTTTCACTAATCATATTTATTAGTGCATGAAACATAATTGTTTGTATAACACTCTGCAACTAATGATTTTGCTAAATAAATTTATCAATTATACTATTGCTGATTGTTTTGAATTTTCTTTAAAAATATGCCATCAGTGTATAAAATGATTTTAGCTCATTCTCTTTGATGGAATATTAATCCTTGCATATACGTATAGGTGGCCTATACACTAGCTGAATGTTTCCCTTACTGCATTGCATTTCAGTGCAATCCCACTTGCTCATTGGCCTTTTGTTGCCTGTGCCTTTGCCTTCATGCATCTTTAATTTCCCAAAGCCAAGGAGGCCAAGTGAGAGGCCACAGTGCCTCGTTTGAGAAACCTATGAAAAGATGCCTTGAAGAAGGTAGGGAAGAGTTGCCATGTCACATCTGCCAGGGCTCCCAGTAGCCCAGTGTGAGAGGGAATGGGAATAAAGTCAAGACCCTAACCTTAGACCCAGCACCACGCCCATTGTGGTGAAACCTAGGGGACACTTCCCCAAGCCAGTACCTACAGACTGAGCCATGAAATCCTCTTAGCCAGGTGGCTAAAAGCTGCCTCTAACACCCCTCCACAAACCCCCAGCATGGAGCTGAGGAAGACTCCAGCCCCGTAGAAGAGGTTAAAAAAGAGAACATCGCACTTTATTTGAAGATCAGTCCCTGCCTCAGGGGGACAGAATGGTTTTGGCCTGCAATACCACCACCAACATACAGGCCTAGCACACACTCTGCATCTGAACAGCAATGGGTAATTATAAGACTTGCATGTAACTCAGCTTAGTGTAAGTCTGGGCTGGGAATAGCCTGCCATCTCTCTCAAAACCTCTGGCAGACAGCAGACTAAACTCCACCTACTGGGAAGTATAGCAGGACAGAGAGCTTACAGCTCTGCCTGGACACAGAGCTGGGCCTACTGTGCAGAAATACAGCACCAGGAAAACCCTACAGGTCGCTACACTGCAGGCAGTGCTCAGAGGCACGGTTCCCAAACCTGCCCCAGCACCAGGCAGAGACCTGCACCATGGTGAATCTGAGGACTCTCTCTGGCTGCACCACCCCCAGCCTACCTAGGTCTGCTGTGCCTCTACAGGACAATAAGAGCCTCATAGCTGTGAGAATCCAAAGCACCCAGATTCATTGTCAGCCTGGGAGGCCAAGGGACTCCCTACATCAGTCTCTCCCAGCAATGCAAAAATAGATAAATGGGATTATTTCAAACTAAGAGGCTTCTACACAGCAAGTGATACAACCAACAAGGTAAACAGCAAGTGACAGTGAAAAATATGTACAAACTACACAACTAACATGAGGTTAATATCCAGAAAAAATTTTTTTTATTTAACTTTTTTTTTAACTTTTATTTAATGAATACAAATTTCCAAAGTACGGCTTATGGATTACAATGGCTTCGCCCCGATAACATCTCTCCCACCTGCATCCCTCCCCTTACCCACTCCCTCTCCCCTTCCATTCACATGAGGATTCATTTTCGATTCTCTTTATATACAGCAGATCAGTTTAGCATACATTAAGTAAAGATTTCAACAGTTAGCTCCCACACAAACATAAAGTGAAAAATAATAGATGATTTTTTAAATGATGATGAAATCAGATCAGACCTATTGTCATGTTTAATCCCAGCGAGAGTCACGTTGGGAATTAACAATTTCTGCTCTCCTATTGTAGATAGATATTCTCGTGCTGTATCTTGTCCCACAGAAAGATCAGTTTAGTATACATTAAGTAAAGATTTCAACAGTTTGCACCCCCATAGAAACACAAAGCGAAATATACTGTTTGAGTACTCACTATAGCATTAAGTCTCAATGTACAGCACATTAAGGACAGAGATCCTACATGAGGAGTAAGTGCACAGTGACTCCTGTTGTTGACTTTACCAATTGACACTCCTGTTTATGGCATCAGTAATCTCCCTATGCACCAGTCATGAGATTCCAAGTCTATGGAAGCCTTTTGAGTTCACCGACTCTTATCTTGTTTAGACAAGGTCATATTCAAAGTGGAGGTTCTCTCCTCCCTTCAGAGAAAGGTACCTCCTTCTTTGAAGACCTGTGCTTTCCACTGGGATCTCCCTCACAGAGATCTTTCATTTAGGGTTTTTGTTTGTTTTTTGTTGTTGTTGTTGTTGTTGTTTTTTCCAGAGTGTCTTGGCTTTCCATGCCTGAAATACTCTCATGGGCTTTTCAGCCAGATCCGAATGCCTTTAGGGCTGATTCTGAGGCCAGAGTGCTGTTTAGGACATCCGCCATTCTATGAGTCTGCTGAGTATCTCGCTTCCCATGTTGGATCACTCTCCCCTTTATTTATTCTATCGGTTAGTATTAGCAGGTACTAGACTTGTTTATGTGCTCCCTTTGACTTTTAGTCCTTTCATTATGATCAATTGTGAACTGAAATTGATCACTTGGACTGGTGAGATGGCATTGGTACATGCCACCTTGATGGGATTAAATTGGAGTCCCCTGGTATGTTTCTAACTCTACCATTTGGGGCAAGTCAGCTTGAGCATGTCCCAAATTGTACATCTCTTCCCTCTCTTATTCCTACTCTTATGTTTAACAGGGATCACATTTCAGTTAAATTTCAACACTTAAGAATAACTGTGTATTAATTACAGAATTAAACCAGTCATATTAAGTAGAACAGACAAAAAAAAAACTACTAAGAGGGATAATGTATTAAGTTGTTCATTAACAGTCAGGGCTATGCTGATCAAGTCACCGTTTCCCATAGTGTCCATTTCACTTCAAAAGGTTTCCTTTTTGGTGTTCAGTCAGTTGTCACCGATCAGGGAGAACATATGGTATTTGTCCCTTTGGGACTGGCTTATTTCACTCAGCATGATGTGTTCCAGATTCCTCCATTTTGTTGCAAATGACTGGATTTCGTTGTTTCTTACTGCAGTATAGTATTCTAAAGAGTACATATCCCATAATTTCTTTATCCAGTCTACCGTTGATGGGCATTTAGGTTGGTTCCAGGTCTTAGCTATTGTGAATTGAGCTGCAATAAACATTAGGGTGCAGACCGCTTTTTTGTTTGCCAATTTAAATTCCTTTGGGTAAATTCCAAGGAGTGGGATGGCTGGGTCGAGCGGTAGGGTTATCTTCAGGTTTCTGAGGAATCTCCAGACTGACTTCCATAGTGTCTTGACCAGTTTGCATTCCCACCAACAGTGGGTTAGTGTCCCTTTTTCCCCACATCCTCGCCAGCATCTGTTGGTAGATTTCTGCATGTGAGCCATTCTAACAGGGGTGAGGTGAAACCTCATTGTGGTTTTGATTTGCATTTCCCTGATTGCTAATGACCTTGAACATTTTTTCATGTGCCTGTTGGCCATTTGGATTTCCTCTTTTGAAAAATGTCTATTGAGGTCCTTGGCCCATCTCTTAAGTGGGTTGTTGGTTTTGTTTTTGTGGAGTTTCTTGATCTCTTTGTAGATTCTGGTTATTAACCCTTTATCTGTTGCATAGTTTGCAAATATTTTTTCCCATTCTGTCGGTTGTCTCTTCACTCTCCTGACTGTTTCTTTTGCAGTACAGAAACTTCTCAATTTGATGCAATCCCAACAGTTGATTTTGGCTTTGACTGCCTGTGCCTCCCGGGTCTTTTCCAGAAACTCTTTGCCTGTGCCAATATCTTGAAGGGTTTCTCCAATGTTCTCTAGTAACTTGATGGTGTCAGGTCGTAGATTTAGGTCTTTAATCCATGTTGAGTGGATTTTTGTGTAAGGTGTAAGGTAGGGGTCTTGCTTCATGCTTCTGCACGTGGAAATCCAATTTTCCCAGCACCATTTATTGAATAGACTGTCCTTGCTCCAGGAATTAGTTTTAGATCCTTGATCAAATATAAGTTGGCTGTAGATGTTTGGGTTGATTTCTGGTGTTTCAATTCTGTTCCATTGGTCTATCCATCTGTTTCTGTACCAGTACCATGCTGTTTTGATTACAACTGCCCTGTAGTATGTCCTGAAATCTGGTATTGTGATGCCTCCAGCCCCAGGAACACAGGCTGATGCTTGACTTCCTATATACTCGCACCCGTTCTGCTCATCTGATTGAAGGCAGAGGGAAGAGGCAATAGATGTCAATAGAGAGATCAGATCTGATCACATTCTGCCTGGAGCCTGAGTTCAACTCAGGTCAACCTAGATTCTAGATGGAGAGTTCTCGTTAAAAGGGTTTCATATTTTAGAGCTTGCTAACCAGAGTCAGGACTATGAAGTACATGAACTTCAAATGAACACCAGCACAGAATGTTGACTACAAGCTCTTTATTTAGGGTGGGAAAGGAAAAGATGAGGCAAAGAGTAATAATGTTTTCCCTCGAGGTCTCCAAGAAAATAAGGAACTCTTTTTTTTCTGTTTTTGATGCTCAGCGGCGGCAGCAGAGTGTGTGGCGGACTCCATTGACTGTGCAGGACCCAGAGGCGCGTTCCCCAAACCCACAACTGAATCGTCTGCAAGTACAGGACACGCCTGCCTTTGCACCTGCAGACACAGATAGAAAATAAGGCACTGAGCATGGGGTCAGACAGGGTGTCCTGTGTGTTTAGTGGGTTCATTTAGTGGGCCTCAATACGCAAGCACTTCAGCAGAGCCTTGCTTCTGTCTCCAGTTTCTAAACTTTCTATTAAAGAGGGTTCAAATTCTCTTTATAATGAATTCTACACATTTAGATACAGAAGCAAAATACTGTGACTGTGTCCATGTGTTAAACCTGCAGAATAACACGCACATCTCTCCCATTCAATAGTCTCTGCAGAAAGTGTCAGATTCATTTGGACTTCCAGTGTTCTATTTACAGTGGAGAAAATCTGGGGTCTGGGAGGTTACGTAACATCATCTACTCGCTCTCCCAGACTCCTGGAGTCTCCTCCCCTGGAGTCTCTACAGCTCTGCTATGCTGCATCTCTCACCCAAAACTTCAAGAGGGGAGGTTTCATCCTGTTTAATGTAGACGGCCACGTCCAGATCCTGTGCCCGGGGCTGTTGCTGGTCCACACCGTCATCAGCCATCCCTGAGTGGAGCTCAGCCTGGGCCTGCAGGGTCACCAGGAGAATGGCAGCAAGCAGAGCGAGGGTCCTCATGGCTGGGAGGCACCTGCAGGAGGGGAGAGCAGGGTGTGGGTGTGGGGTGAGGAGTCAGCCTGTGTTCACAGGTCTGTTAGGAGAGCCTCGGAGACAAAGCCTGCATGAGGGAAGGTGTGCACTGATCTGCAGGGTGAGGGCTGCTGTCCTCTAGGTCCCATGATGCTGCTCTCTCTGGCAGCTGCACCGTATCACAGGTGTGGTCGCTCACTGCCTTTCTTGGCTGACACTAATAATTAGATGGGGAACCTGTCATCTATTCCTGTTTCTGTTGTTTGAATACTTACCTTTTCAAATTCAAGATGGAAAAGAAGCAGTGCTTCCATTCATTAAGATGAGGGAACAAATGGTCCTCTCTCTGCAGATGGGCCCTGCTGCTCTGAGGGTCTGAGCTCTCAGCCCAGACTTGCACCCCACTAACCCTACTGAGTAGAGAAGTGGTCACTGCTGTGTTAGGGCTTGGCCATTGCTGTGAAGGAGGATTTTCAGGTTAAAGGGGTGAGGAGGCTCCTGCTGGCCAGAGTGTGTAAAGAACAATGACCTTAACAGGCTATAGGGAAAATGATTTCAGAGGGTCTACCAAATTAGTGATCTAAGGCTATGAGAATTTGTGGCTTTATTGTGCCTAAAGTAACCATTTAAATTGTGTATATCCATAGTACCAAACTTCACATATTTATACAACTTGAATCTCATGTCAATCATATTTTAAAAATTAAGTTAAACTACATTGAAGTCCTGAGACCATAGACCTACTAGGAAACCACAGCAGATAAACTCTAGATCTGGATTTGGGCAATGATTTCTTAGATACGGCAGCAGGACCTTTGGCAGTGAAGTTAAATTGATGAGGGGATTGTGACGATCAGCAAAGCAAAGAAAACAATCAACAAAGTGAGAAGTAAAGTAGGAAACAGGTGGAAATATTTTCAAAACATATATCTGATAAAAGCTAGCATCTGAAATACAGAAGCAGCTAAAGAAAATACAATAACAAAAAACATATGACCTGATTTTAAGTGAGCATAAAAGGTTGGATATTTCACTCGGTGTTAAAAATATCAGTTGGGAAGCCAGCATCCTACATCAGAGTTCTAGGGTTTGAGATCCACTTCCTCTAATTATTGGTTCCAGCTACTCAAACTTCTGAAAACCACACATTGTGATTTAAGAATTTGAGGTCCCTGTCACCCATATGAGAAAGAAAGAATGAGTGCCCAACTCCTTTCTTCAACTTGACCTGATTCAAGCATTTAAAGGCATTTGACAGGTAATCAGTAGATGGGAGGTCTCTCTCTCTCTCTCTCATAAATTAAAAAAAAAAGTATTCTTAATGGACCAAGTATCTGAGTAGACATTCCTAAAAATAAAGCAATACCTTAAAAGGTATTATTGTCTCCAATGGACATGCTGGCAACACCTGTTGTTTTGACAAATCATTTTGCGTTTCTGTAATTACTGTCTCCAGCAGTCCCCAGCACTCACCAGAGGCACAGACAGAAGGGCCCAAAAGGGGTCCACAAGCATGGGTTCGTCCAGGGCAGACTCACCTTTAGGGGTCAGACTGATGCTGGCCTGCAATGACACAAACACAGAGTGAGAGTAAGAGCATTTCAGTACTTACAGATGCAAAGGCTGTGTGGGATGAGCAGAGAGGCAGGCAGCAGTCCTCTGACCCAACACTTCTGGACCAACAGCCCCCACACACATGCAGCACAGGACTTCTCCTATTTAAGGATCTCCTGGGGTGAGATGTCCTAATTTCTCAGGATCACTTCCTGTTGGGCAATTCAGACCACTCTGGGGCAAGGGCAGTTGGGAAGTTTTGTGTGACACTGGGTAAAACAGGGATCTGTTGAGGACTCTGCACTTGCTTTGTTCAGCTTTGCCCAGGGCCAGGAAGCAACAACAGTTACTATTCTTTCTCCAGTACTCCTAGCATGGCTGATTCCATGATACCTAGGACATCCCCCAGGCTGAATCTCTAGGAGCAGGAAAGTATTATAGTCTGCCTGAAACCCTGGGCCTACCCTTTATAGTATATTCCTCGTTAAGCAGACTAAGGTGAAACGCCAATGTACACTCAGAGCACTTGCAATCCAGTTCTCTACCAAGCTCTCTAGGACGTGGGGTCTACCCATGAAAGTGAACCAAATCCGCTGTGCCGAGTGGGGGTATTGAAGAACACTTGGATTATGTGTACTATCACTGTATGTGTCCACATTTTTGTACAACTTTTTGAACAGCCTCACAAACTGACTTGTCTTTGTTTCCTTATAATAGTGGAGTTAATTGATTACAAGTAAGACGAATAGCAATCTCAGCCAAGTGCCTTTCTACAGGGTCATCTGTGAGGGGCTTAGCAGAGCTTGAGCTAAGGGAAGCAGCACCACAAGGAGCAGTATGTTGAGCGTGATCTAGGGGCTAGCTACGTCCATCTTCTTGGTGGAAGTAAGAGAGGAAGCTCAGCTGACTCTGTGGCCAAAGTCAGATTCGTTAATGCCTCCAGTTCTTGGGAAGCCACTGTTTCCTTCAACGACTTCTTGGGTTGTGGTGCTGTGGTCTGAGATGTTGTCATCTATTCCAACATTCTTTGTGCCATGGATAGGGGGTCAGCTTCTCAGAGGGCCACCCATGAAGTGAAGTAGAGTCTGGAGATTCTGATGGCTCATGAAAGTCTGTGAGGCCCTTTGGAGAGTTCCCCCTTAGACCTTCTTTCTGCAGGTATGGCACAAGCCTGCCAGCTCCTGTGAGTGCCCAGACAAGAGGGACCTGGGACAGATGACTAAGGTATAACTATGTCTCATGGAGAAGATAAAAAGTCAGCTTGGGTAGAGGATAAAACCTGCAGCAAAGCTTTTAGGAAAGTTTATGGATTCTTTTCTGGGTGAAACAGATGTTTCTATCCACATGCTGTAAAACTGGAGGCCTGTGTACATCCCTGGTGTGATGACAACTCTGAGCTTTCTCTGCCCTGAGGCCCACTCTGTATGTTGTGTGGATTTGTGCTGGATAGCACCATTCACTCATTCGGAGGGATATCTGGACATCCACATACTTGGCTACCAATCTGTCATTACAGTGGGATCTGGGGTGTTGAGTGCTGGTGGTGGTTACACATTGGTGCCTTTGGACCCATTTGGTTTAACAGGTAGAATTTCCTGACTTGAACTCAATCTGTCACCATTTGGAGTGCAGTCCTAACATGGCTGTCCAGCTTGGGCAATGATTTCTGACCAGCGTAGTTCTGTGCCAGCACACCTCTAGCCTGGTATCCAGCAGTAGCCCTGTAAACCCCACCACATATAAGACCCCAAGAAAGGCCAACTTTAAAGGGCAACAATACCCTATAACTCAGCACTTTTTCATTGCTGCTCCTATAATGACACTGATCACAGTGCTGGCTCAGGCCATCTTTTGTGAATGGTTTCCTCTACATTCAGTATAGGCCATTGCCTGATGCCATCCATGTCCACCAGTTCAAAGACTTCTGCTCACTTCTGCCTTCCATGGTACCTGGAGAAATAATCTCTAGTTCATATAAGTTTGTGGGAAATATCAACCAACCTCTAAAACTAGTAAAAACCTGAGCTTCTTTTGGAATTTTCTAATCAGTTAGCTATGTATGGTTTAGCACAGGTATTGCGGCCCTGTTCTTGATCCCTGTGTGGGGCTGTCAATCTTAAATAGAATATGGTCTACCTTGTCTACAATGGAGTCACCAAAAGATGTTTGATGTCAAAGCCATCAATATCTTGTAGCAGGAAAGCCTGGCATCACTGCTGCATCAAAACAGCTCTAGAAAGACCTGGAATGGCTAACTCCAGGAAATAACAGTCTTTTATAGGTAATAGAGGACTTAGTACCCCTAATCATCTTTATGGAATCAATGGTTCCCTGTGTGTGTATGTGTACATACGTATGTGCTTGCATAAAAAAGAGGTTAAGGGTGACAGAAGGAGGAAACAGCCAATATTCAGACAGATAGAACAGGAAGGTTACAGTTGTCCTCATTACCATTGAGGGAGATAGAGCTCTGTGATAGATGGAGTCGCTGCAGCAGCAGACTGACGGAAGTAGCGTTTCTTAGGGCTCACCCACTCAACACACTCTGCCTCATCACAGCCAGCAACAGAAGGAGCTTTGGAGGTTGCAGCTCAGGAGGGACCTGGGACAGAGGACACAGGCAGTAACATTTCCTTTGTAGAAGATAAAAACTCAGCTCAAAAGGCTCCAGGTGTCAGGTGTCAACATCTGAGTGCTATAAAGAACTGAGACACCTGTTTCTGGCCTCAAGATTGGCTCAACCAATTATGTCATCTTGAGCACCTCATTGAATATCCCAGTGCCTCAGTGTCATCATCTGAAAGCTGAAAACACTGGCCTGTCTAGTCTCGTAGCAGTTACATTTTATACAGATTTTTGACTTCATGACAAGTGGAACAGCCTCTGAGGCTAGAGGCAGCTAGAGATAACATGTAGTTGGGTAAGCTGGCAAAGTTCTAACAGGATTTAACATTTGGTGGGCAAACCTGACCCAAAAGTAGTAACAGCTTCTTATCGCAAAACTGATTTTAGTCTTTACTTAATGAGACATTTGGAGACAAGGCAAAATGAAGGAATCAGTGAATGTGTATCAAGGGTGGAAGAGAGGGGACAATTATCCTAAAGCATGAAGCAAAGACAGGTGAGGGCCCAAGTCTTCTCTGACAGGCATCATTGAGTCAAATCTTTTTCATTCTGATGGAAAGGAATATTATCACTGTAATTTTGCATTTTATATGGCTTCTCTAAATCAAAATAAACTTCTCCATGATTCTTCCTTCTTCCACTTGTTCTACACTCCCATCCCATTCTGCCCTTTTCCTCCAGGCACACTGAGCCTGCCTTGCTATGCAGACAAGGATGCTACAGCCTCAGGGGCATCCCTTTGGCACTAAAGTTCCTTACAGGCATTGCTGTCTTTTGGCTGCTTCAACCTAAATACAAAAATGTTCAAGGATCAATGTGAAGGCAAGAGACAAAGCATTGTCACTTTCTCTGCTTCTCCCTCATGTTTTTTTCCTAACTCCAAGTAAAATCTGTACCTGCAGATTTCTCTGTATCTGATTTTGTGATCTTTCACATGTGTGTTAGGTGGTACTAATTTATTTTTTTTTATCTTTTATTTAATGAATATAAATTTCCAAAGTACGACTCATGGGTTACAATGGCTTTCCCCCCCATACCGTCCCTCCCACCCACAACCCTCCCCTTTCCCACTCCCTCTCCCCTTCCATTCACATCAAGATTCATTTTCGATTATCTTAATATACAGAAGATCAGCTTAGTATACCTTAAGTAAGGATTTCAACAGTTTGTTCCCACACAGAAACATAAAGTGAAAAATAATAGATGATTTTTTTTTTAAATGATGATGAAATCAGATCAGACCTATTGTCATGTTTAATCCCAGTGAGAGTCAAGTTGGGAATTGATAATTTCTTTTTTTTTTTTTTACAGAAGATAAATTTAAATGCAAGAAACAACAATCTCACTGAACTGTAAAATCACAATATTGCCTCTTTCACTTGCGGAATTCAGAGTAGTGCTGGGTTCAGACACAAAATGCTGTGAATGCATGAATAAGCTTTCTCTCTCTCTCTCTCCCTCTCTCTCTCTCTCTCTTTCACTCTCCCCCCTCCTTTCTTTTTCTCTCTCTTCTCCCTTACTCTCTCTCCCTCTCTCTTTCCACTTTGACTTTCAAAAAATAAACAAACCTTAAGAAATAGAAAATATATAAAGAAACCAAGTAACACAACTAAGAAACCACTGATTTTAAAAGTCGGCAAGGTACCTGAATAAACATTATTCAAAATAACACATTTTTAAGGGAATCTATTATAATATTTGTTGGATATTTCAAATATGGCATGTGTCATTTTTTCTCTCCATATTAACATTAATCTAAATTTCTGAAATATCCAAAAATCCCTTCTCATGTGCTTATATGAATGCTGATTTCAGCTAAGAAATGACACAAAATCTACACAACTGCATCTACCTGGTACCAGAAAAAGATATACCAGAGAAAATTGCAGACCAAAATTAATAATGAACACAAATGCAAAATTTATAACAAAATGTCTACAAGCAAGCAATACATAAAGCAATTTTTATTTGTGGCAAATTGTGACTCATCCCAGGTATAAAAGAATGACTCAACAAATACAATGGATTAATGTGATGCATGACATAAACAGAATCAAGAAAAATCCATATGACAAATGACTATCTCCTTAAATGCAAAAAATACATGCAGTAAAAGTCAGTGTTCACTCATGATAATAACCTTCAACAAATTAGGTACAGAAGTAAAGTACTCCAACAAAAAGGGTATCTATGGCAAACTCATAGTCAACATCATACTGAAAGAGAAAAATCTGAAAGCATTTCTTATATGATTAGGGAGAAGACAAGGATATCAATTTCCACCACTTTCTCAACAGAGACCTTTAAGTCTTAGTCAAAGCCATTAGGTTAAAAAAATAATAGATAAAAAACAAATAAGTGACATCTAAGAAAGGAGGTAGTCAATTTTTCCCATTTTGCAGAAAACATAATTTTACATGTTGAAAAACCTGAAGCCACTACCAAAATACTGTTAGAATTGATAAATGAATTCAATGGTGTTACTGCATACAACATT